GATCAAAGAGGCTAGTACATTTAATAAGGCAGCAAAAAGGCGCCTAAGCTTTAGTGGACATGTCTTATCGACTGTGCAATAATGCTAAAAATGGTAACCAGCTTCATGCTTACTGCCTTAAGGGGACACAAAAGGACAAAATCATACCGTTGGACACAGGATACCAGGCAGCACCGTTCGTTATACCCTCCTTGAAGTTTTCGCCGGGCGCACACTTCTGTCTTTGCGTCTTCATGGCCAGGTTGTACTTGCTATATGTTTTCGCAAGCGCCCTGAATAGCAACCAAATTATAGGTAAGAAGGTGCACAGAAATCAACCAAAATAATATTTGCAAAAGTAGCCATATTAAGACAAGTTAGCTATACAAGCTGTTCCGTATACTGGATTAAAGTCTCAATTTTATACAGGAAAATATCCCAATCCCTTTTTATTATTATTATAATTGATGTAAAACCAGCAGTTCATTGCTCTTAAACATGTATATGTACAAACATTTCACTCTAATAAAAAGTGAAAAACCTGGTTTACGTATAATTAATGTACAGTGAACTAAAGATATGCATCTTATGACCAAATTAGCTCAGTAAACGCCTGCAGTTGCTATACGGTGAAAACTTAAAACTGGTCGAGGTAAACCAACAAGAATGCAAAAACTTATGGCACTGGCCGATGGTTAGAACAAAACTTCGTTGGGGGTTCTGGCTGGCTGACAGCTAAGGGGTGTAACACTTGAATAACTCTGAGATAAGCACTAAATTCCAACAAAAGATTCCTGAGGACTGTCCGTCAATGATACCGAGAAGCAAAAAGAAGTCATCTGTGTCCTCTAACTGTGTGCATAATTGTGAGCACTAGACTACTACTGCCTTCGATTCTTAGAACAGCAAAAGAAGGCTGAAACAACGGATCAAGAACGCACTACTAAAAACTAACCCAGTTAATGGAAACACACAAGGGTTCCTGATAGGTGAAAACGTCTAACAGCAAAGTTGAAGCCAGTGAGAGGTAGCGAGAATGGAGATTAGCATGCAGACTGCATAGAATGGGTAGGTTATGGCAAAAGATTAAGACCACATATGTTCTGATCGAGGTGGAACGTTAAGGTAAACGTGCATTTGCTTATGACGAAGGGGATATGCACCGCATCTAACTCACTCAGTTACGTGACAAAGTCAAGACGACCGAATGAGACCGCGGGCAGAGAGACTAGCAGGAATAAGCACTCCACCTAAAAGTGCCACACACGACGTAATGCGTAATCTCAAAATCAGGTAGACTCAAATATCGTATGAGCGAGAGGACCAAAGGACTGTTGCGTGTTGATTCTCCGTCCTAGGTAGAACAGAGTTAACCTCAAATTTGACACCAGTAGGTCACAATTGTTTGCGTGTCGTTATGGTTTGAAAACTCGTCCGGATATAACGAGGAACTTAAACGGTTTGAATTAGCTAGCTGGCTAGACGGAAATGCTGGCAGACGGGACAGCACTTCGCACTGGACGTCTTTATTACTGTTTATATTAGTATCTCACTGTTCTGCCGCATTGCTTTTAAGCATGGCAAATTTACATCATACGAAGCATTAGAAGAGGCATTTGTGCAATTGAGTGGATATTGGGTTTTGTAATGGGTGTTTCGGTTACATAAAAGCAATATGCCAAATAGTGATATCATAATATAAACAATAATAGAGACGATAAATAAAATAAATAAAATAATATCAATAACATACTAATACACATTACACAAACAACTATAAACAATAGGTAAAAAATAATAAACAATAGGAAAAAATATAGAACAAGAATAAAAAGCAATACTAAAAACAACAAATGAAAGAATAACAATAAGCAAACTACAAACAAACAACACTAAGAAATAAATTATACAATAGTGAGGAAAAATAAGTAAAACACTAGCAATCTACCATTATACAAAAATTTAAAAAATGTAAAAATAAGGAAATACTTCTTGAAGAAGTAGCCAATAAACGTACAGCACGAATGTCCAATAGGAAGCGTTGCCCAGTCTAACAGAAGTTCCGCTTGGTAGGCTAACTATTTCAAGCCACGCCAAAAGACGCTCTGTACCACAAGGAATACACGTGTGCTGTAATCTCACATATGGGGGAATTTATATAAATGTCTAATTAAGAAGGAGTCATTGCAGTCTGTTTATCTCTCTGAAGGAGAAACGAATTCAGCCTCTATCAAACGCGTGTCGCGTGCCTGTAAGAAAGTAGTCTAGAACTAGCGCATACTCAAGTCCCACCCAATAACGCATGCAGAGGACAAATGCGGTTCTTGTGTGGGCTTGTGGTCGATCAACAAAACGGCGCAAGACAACTTTGTTAAAAATATATGTCATTTTGCGACCGCCCATTTTCCTCGTAAACACTCCCCGATCCTAAGGTACGACTGATTGGCGCAAACGACTCCAAGGCAGACGTTCACACGTGCAAACGGTCAAACTCGGCCACGTCTTACTCGCACGTAAGACGCCACGATTTCTATTACGCAAGCCTACAAAAGCAACTGATCACCGACGAAAACTTGGCGCTAACCGCTCAATATCCAGCCTTTCTAGCTGCCAACTCAGAAGTTGAAGGTCAAGTACGGAGTAAACAATTAATTCAACCGTTTTCCGTCTCCTATCAACAGGACTTTGAGTTAGTGGTGCTCAGAGTATCATGCTACAGGGCGCAAACCATTTTGGGGCGATGTATACACCGCTGTTTACAACCACCAATCACACGGAGTTTCTCTTGCAGTAATTGAACCTAAACCTACTTCGGTTTGTTTGTGTGTCAGTAAGCTGCGTCAGTCCAGTGTGGCTACTGCCCTTGCCATATCTGATAGCCAACTTTGAATCCACACAAACTCCCTATCCCTCTTCCAGGTACTGCTGGCAAAAAGTGCATTGAAAGGGCTGATTAAGATAAATATAGAAAACCACGATTGCATGCCTGTTTAACTTACTGAAAGGTGGCGTCATCGGGACTAGGTGTGAGCTTTCTATCGCCATCTATTGAACCATCGAAGGGGTAGTTTGCCACGAGTGCCCCGCCATGAATGTTGGCAGACAGGACGAAGGGGATTTCCTTGAGCCACTCCTCAATCATGCGAGTTTCCGTTTCGGGCTTAATAGGTAAATCGGAGTTACTATTAGAAAATTTGCACATGCGCACTGAAACCAAAGAGTAAAACGCCAAGGGGGATACCTGAAGTCTGGAAAGACTCCAAGCCTAAGGGATTACAGCAAAGGGATATGCAATCAGGTAAGGCACATAGACAGTCCTCCACAAGGCTTCAGCTGCGTAACTACTGTAAGCAAAAGCTTCACATGCTTCAAGTGGCATGTTTTTCGTCTCACTTATTTTGCCTCTCGGAAGAAGAAGCGATCACTAGAACAAGAGATTTATTGTCCTGACGTTTCGGATTCCCTCGGGAACCCTTAATCATAGGTAAT